CATCTGAACAAACCAAACATCTCAGATTGACAAACGGAACTTGGTTTTTGATCACCTGAAAACTGAATACTATCCACTATGTCGAGGGATGGTAAGAAGTAAGAAGGACCAAGCAACATATATATTGTTCACTAGCCTTCTAAATGGATTTTACTATGAGACATCAAGAAAAACGATATTTCAAACAATTTTCGAATATTTTGAAAAATTGAAGACAATATTAGCAAAGAGAGTGAATGGTAAACCCACCTGGAGCGCAGCGGCCCACTGCTCATCTGTGGCCCCTTGTCTGTAGGAAGAGGAAGTGTACGAAGGGGTATGAATGCCTAGTTGCGGTTCTATTCTTGAATCCAATTTAGGAGCGTCGGAAAATACGGATGTTCCAGAGCAGTGTCCATAACCTCGAACCGAAGATATTTCCGGAGAAAGATCCTGAATTTTTTCAGGTGGAGCATGCTCTACTAGTGTTTTGGTGATAGGATCGATTGAAACGCGGGCGATCCTGTAAGATGTTTGTTGCGCCCATGCAGGCAACACACGAGCAGCAGGAGTTATCGATGTTGTCGTATTTGATACAGAAGTTGCCGGTTCGGGCTTATCGTTGTTATTCTTGGGAATCGGAGATTCCGTAGACCTCGATTGTGAAAATAGTGAATAATCTGCATCTATAACAAGATTTTCGATGCGTATTTTTACTAACCAATCGATTCGATTTCTGTGAAATTCAGCGGCAGGTACTCTGGGATGTATTCAGGACGGGATTTTAGTTCCTCGTGATCTTGTGGTGGGACATTTAAACATACTTTTCCAGCCAAGGGAACGGCACTGCATGTTGGATAATTGGAAAAGTATGGGCCGACCTCCTCTGCGAATTTCAAGAGATTTTGAGGTGACTGCTTAAGAAGCCTGAGGGCCAGAATTCCATCCTCCAGCTGGGCATTTCCACCGTCTGTAATGTTATGATACAGTTAACCATTCTCTTACATAGATTGGAAACTCGCGCTACTGTAGATGCGAAGTTCCGAATGTACTGTTCACCTACATCAGCCAATAACTCAAGAGCAGACTCATTGATTCGGTCGAATCCAACTTGGTAGCATAAACGAGCAATCACCTGTGACATCACTTCTCGGATATCACTAGACATTTCGAGATGAAAACTGGAATGAAATGAACATGGGAAGAAAAATCAATGAAGATCGTGCGAAACGATAATCCTGAAAACTAAAATCCCGAAACTGTATAAGCCTATAGATGTTTACAATCCTGGCTATAAAATATCAGAAATGATGCCCAAGCAATATCTCTTGGATTAAATTATAAAATGCACAAACGGAACTATCAACGACTGAATCCCTTGTGATAACGTAGAATAACCTTATGCATATGTGTATCAGCATTTTTTCATGTATTTATTTATTGCTACTGACGATCAGAAAGAAGCAAAGTGGACATCGCAACCAGTTAAAATTACGATTAGAGGACATTGGTTTCCGGAGGATGTATGAGAAGACTGAAGAGATAGTTCCAGTTTGACTCACAGTTACTTGTGAGTAGTGGTGTGGGATATTTGGTTTTTTAATAACTTGAACTGACTATCCTTCGAAGTCCACCTTCGCGCACAATTCTCAGATCAGCGATGCAACCATACACTCGGATGCACTAGAGTCGAGTTTCGCTCTTATTTGAGCTCATCGGTAGTGCATATCCACCGTCCCATCCAAGATT